CGCGTGTAAATAATTGATTGATTGTGCGTGTAGGTGTCTTGTATAAACGCGGGTGCACGTGTGTACCTCCCTACTTGAGAGATGTGTTGTCTTCATTATTATTTCATATAGCTGGTAGACTATCTATGTATTTGAAATTTACGTTTTATAAATATCCTATAGTAAATCCGCATTTTTTTTGTTACTTCGTCATTCGATTATGCGCTTTTGTACGAGGGTGTAAGTAATACGAACTGAGTGACATTATAGTTTTGACGTGTGCCCATATGTATGTATGTATGTGTGCACATATGCCTGCATGGATATGGGTACCTGTATGTGTATGTTTGTGTGTGTTTTGTACGAACTTAATAATTGCGTTACAAGCGCCTTCAAATGAGCACTTGTAAAATTCTCGCTACCGGATCGGTATCCGCCGTCCGTGCATTCGTCCGGGGGGGATGTGCGGTTTCGGGCGTTTGTGTACAGGGAATACAAGATCATCGGTCGGTGCATCGGCGAATATCTGCGTTTGCAATCGGGGATGTTTGTCTCGTGAGCAATGATAGCGACGAGTGACAATGGGATGGGCGAGTGCACGGTCGAGCGAGCGAGCGAGCGAGCGAGTCGTCTCGCACCGACGGCGGTCTCGATTGTCAAAAGTAGAAAGATGAAAAAAGCTCGGTGGGTAATTGGAGTGAAAGATAGAAAGAGACAGAGAGAGAGGCAGAGAAAGAGAAAAAGAAACGAAAGTCGACCGGAGGAAGATACAAAAGACGGCCGAACGAAAGAAGCGCTCGCGTATACGCGTAGATTCGTCGCGGCGGAATAGCCGCGACGAGAGATGAACACTCGTTAGATATTAGCAGAAATACTAGACGAAACCGGCGAAGTTTTCTACTGCTTAAAGTTACAGTTAAATGACGGACGGCCGGCAGCACTCTAGTTTCTTTTTTTTTCTTCTTTTTCTCTTTTAGTTGAACGGTCAGAGAAACAAGATTATTGCGACGGGATTCTCGTCTTTCGCTATACATATATATATATATATATATATATATATATATATATATTCACGGGCACTGCCGTGCCGCACGATCTCTAGATTCCTTTCGTTTAAATAGTTACGATAAAGTACGATAGGAGGCAATTACAGTTTACGAAAAATTGATAGATTCCGCAGATAAGGGATACGAAGATGCAGCCGCTCGGTTGATGTCCGCGCGAAACATGAATGAGCGTAGGTTTCTCATTTGATTTTTCACATTCTACGCGATATTCCTTGATGTTGTTATCGCGTTATTTTATCGTATCATTGCACATAAAATTCGCGTCGTAAATTCGACTGCCTTGAGAAACGTCATGTGGAACCGCGAGAGAGATTAGTGTGTGGATTCGCCGAAACCGTGCCAGGAATGTGTCGAGAAATACGATAGTCTACGGCGGAATAGAAGAGAAAGACATGTATTCGTCTAACAGTCTCGTTCAAGAGAAGTCCCAGTTGATCGGGTTGTTGCTCATTGTCTTATCTTTTAATCTTTGAAATTTCGAAGAAGGAAGACGGAACAGAGGGAGAAGAAGATGCAGGAGAGAATTGGTGGTCCGCGAAAAAGCGTCCTAGAACGATTCTAGACGCATCATGACGACGTCATTGCCGTCACTGATCTTCGTCGTGCTCGATGATGACGCGTTCCATTTCCGGATGGTCCGGCGTCCTCGCTGGCGAACGCGACGGTGATACTCAGGACGACTCCGACACGCCGCTGGTCTCCCCTCGTGTCCCGCGACATGGTCATAATAATTACGCAGCGATGGAAAGAATTTCATGAACACACGGCCATCGTATAGTCACGCACTCCGATCGTTTTCTGTCGAATCGACATTTGCCGGCGGGTATGTTTGCTGATACGTTGGGTGGTCTTAGGTGCATGACATAACTGCCTGCGGCGTCTTCCTGTCGGACACCAGTGGCTGTCGGTGTGTCAGATCTTCGTGACGAGAAGGTCGATCGCGGTATGATCGTTACGGCGCCAGCGATCACTGCTTCATCCTCGATGAACCATTGCAATCCGCAGTGACGATGTGGCGAATCGGTGAAGACCGCTGTCAGTAGACCCAAGAAACGGGCACCCATTGTGGTGTTGTGTGGACGCGCTCGATCGCGGCTTCCAGTTGGGCGATCGTCTCGTCGAGATCGTTGTTCACGATGGTTAAGTCGAAGAAATGCCCGTACGCCTGCTTTAGCATATCCGATTCCTTCGCCAGCCGCTCCAAACTACCATCGAACTGAAAATACAAGTAACATTATTACAGATATTATATATATCCAATTAAAAGATTTAAAGTAGAATTTTGCGGTATATTTTTTCATGAAAATGTTATCTATCTCTTTACATTTCTTTTTCGAGATGAGCACCTCGTATACAGAACGAACACGAATCAAATGATTCTATATCTTCTTTTATGAAAATGAATATGATTATGCATTTAATCCTACAAAAGCATGATATTCTTCGCGTGCTTTCCATTATGTACTTATACGTTATTCCCATCATCAGAATCTGATATTCTTTGATGATTTCCTCTCAAAGTGTATTAACGAACCGTTATCGGTCGATTAGTCATTCAGAACAAGTAAACCAATAATTGTTTGCCTCATTAATCAGCTAAATCCATGATTCATTTGAAGATCGCTGAATGGTTTGCTTAATTGCTCAATTGGCGTGCAAGCATTCCTGATTTGCGTTATAGCTACAAATCAAGAATCGAGATACGTTTAACGTAGATTAGAGAATATTTGCAGACATCGTTTTCTGTACGTATTCTTCGATAAGCTCTTTGGCTCGTAATTTATCGCTGTGTTACGACTACTACGAAATACGATTAAACATTAATCATTTTACATAGCAAACGTTTTACAAAGCCAAGTACGTTGATGGTTTACTTAGAAAACGTGTACTGTGGAAAGGTAAATATATAGCATACGCTATATATTGTTCTTGATTAATTATACATTGTTTAATGTAAAAGTAAATAACTTTTGCAATTAAAAAGAGGGTATGATTATTTTTTTTTAATATTAAATTTTTTTTAATATTAGATGTAATGTGCTTAATAATTGTGAGAGTTTTATATAGTATAGAATTTTTAAACAAAAATAGTAAAATAATTAAAGTATTTTTAATTTTATTAATTATATATACAATTATTTTTATAATTATTGTAAAGTTATCATTCAGAAAAAGTTAAATTTGCCAGCGTATATCAAAATTTCATATTGAAATATATTTGCTAAATCATTTTGCAACCTGTTCTCTCATAATTTTGGAGAAATATTCAAAATATACAATATATAAGTTTAGCTTTCAATTTTGTAGAATTATTCTCATACTTACGTCTGTAACATTTGCAAACGCTGGTGCAGCAATGAAAACGACGTAAGGTGCAAATTCAGCAGTCCGTAAAACTTTCAATGCCTGCGGTTCAACATCTAATATGGCCATTCTACCTTCTTCGTGAATTTTGCGAATAGTTTCGAGCTTAGTTCCGTACATAGCATCTTCGTGTGTTCCTGTTCGTAAAAATAATAAATAAAGTAATAAATATTTCAGAGTTAATAATTTTATATCTTACATATTTAATGTAACACACACACACACACACACACACACACACACACACACACACACTTAATGTAACATATATATATTAATTCTAACAATCTAAGATATGATTTATTATTATTTATTTCTCGATGTTAATAATTAATAATCAATGTTCTTAATAAATTTCCATGTATAAGAAAATTTAATGGATATAATTTACCGTATTCAAGGTATTCATTAGCGGCTATATCTGCCATCATTTCATCGTGCGATACGAAATAATAATTACGACCATTTTCTTCGTCACTTCGTGGAGGCCTCGTTGTATCTATGAAAAAATATATTTGATATAATTTTTCTGATATAAATATTTTATACGATTAATATGATGATGTATATATCGATATTTCATTTCATACATTTTTCTTTATAAACAATAATATTTGATTAATTTAAAATACTAAACATCAAATATAAAATACTTACGCGGAATAGGATAGGCGTATTTATCAGGATGCTTGGAAATAATTGTATTTTTTATGTGTCGTCGACCGACGCCATGTGCTCCCAATAATACTAAAGTTTTCCGTTGGAAGGCAGGATCTGCGAAAAATAACATAATTATGAAAATTTATATTTATTTTATAATAATAATAATAATTATAAATATTATAATGTTCAGAAAATTGAATTATTTTAATTAAATTTCACTGAATTAATATAAATTTCATCAAAATGTGTTTTAATAAAAGAGTTATTAATAAAAATAAAAAAGTAAATATTCTATATTTATATTATTATAAATTAACATTAACTCTATTAATTTGTGGATTAATAATTTAAATAATAACTTACAAGGAAGCTTCACGACCTCTTCGTAGGTCACCAGGTCCAGCTGGTCAAAAACAGCGTTGTGCTTTGCAAGATATTTATCCTTGTATTGCTTCTTTTTCCGGCCGAATATTGAGCAATTTACTGAAAAGCAGAAAAGATCGTTAATATATATAAAACGCTAGCGAAACCGGAGATGAAGCTATCTCTCCTCAAAAATGTCTGCCCCTTATAAACTTGCAAATTACTGTGCAAGTGTCATGTTACGGAATCCATTATCCGTGCTAACTAACAAGTTCCGTGCCTTTATAGTGTCGATGAACGACCGCTAAACCAATCTTAAAGACGATCACAATATCATGGCCATCGTAATGAAACCAACTCGCAAAATTCAATTATAAACGCCAATGTGTATATGTATTAGAAATTAAGTCAATAAAACGATAGTTATTTCTTACAACAGCTTGTAAATATATATCAATAAAGTTGCCTGATGAATATCGCCAGAAGCCGAATAAGAGTCACGATGGATATCATTTTTCATAATTGCATAAAAAGGGTCGTTCATGTCGCTAGAATATTTTATATTATTTCTCCTAAACATGTATCGCCTAGTATGGTGTGTTATCCTATTGGAAATATAGTACACATCAATGTGTGCAGTTAGCAATCCTTCGGAGCATCTCGAAAATTAATTATTAAGTAATGACGAGCTCTGCGAATATCGGTTCCTGGATCAAGCAAAATCTTGCCTATTGATTATAAAAAGAGTTCATTCAGTCAGCCAGTTCGAAAGAAGCCATGCCCAAAGGCACTTAGGAATCCTATTGAGAGGAATGTTCCAGCAGGTCACAAGATGACAATGTATAGAATTCGTGATGCGTGAAACTTAAATAGGTGTCATAATCAGAATGTGATATATTGTCTTGCGAATGTTATCTTCGCGATTATAGAGATCTACTGAATATGTAATACTAATCTAGGGAGAGTTATATGTAACTACAATGTATATCGAAGCTGCGGATGATAGCACGCGTGATTGTGCAAATCACGATATCTTGCCAAAATCTAGACAGTTGAAGAAAGATAGACGCTAAAAATATGTCTCTCTCTCTCTCTCTCTCTCTCTCTCTATATATATATATATATATATATATATATATATAAGAGTCGCTATTACAAAATCGAAAATATTTTAAGTAGAAAGTCTCAAGTGAGATATTTGGCAAGATATTTCCAGAGCATCATTGTTTGCTAACATTTAGAGCAATCAATTAATTATCTATTATAAGCCTCAGTTATAATCGTGCTGCCGCGTTTGCAAGTGAAATCGTGCGAAATAAGCATAAATGCGTGGAATGTTTTGCAGCGAATTAAAGCATGCATTAAAGCACGCCGTGTAAAAGCATCTATTAATTTATAATACAGAATACCATAATATCTATATTAATAAATTATAATTGGTATGATGCTCTCTCACAATATATGGATGTTATAAAACCTTTCATTTACACAAGTCTGCAAAATGTGAATTTTTAAAAGCTTTTTCGTTCTTGACTGTGTATCATTCGTGTATAATTGAAAAATTTATATAATAGCACTGAATTTCGCGTAACACATTTTTGTTGGATCATTTAATAATTTTCTGAAAATCTATACATATGGAATAAAAATCAATAAAATTTTTTAAATCTGCAAAGCTTTTTAAAAAGCAATTATTAGATTATAAAAATGTAAAAACTACAAAATTGTTGTAGCTAATTTGCATTACTTTTTGTTGTGATTGCAATTGTGATTTGTAGAAAATGAGTTCGCATAGCGAGTGTATTGTACGAATATTTGTTATCTAATAAGTATGATGTATTTTTTACATAGCTACGTAAAATATACAATTTGTTATCGAAATAATTTATTAATAGCATCGAATAGCATGATTTATCGTTAATTACAATTTAAAACTCAAATATCTTATAAATGTATAATTCCTTGTAAATGTTTCATTAATATTAATATGTATATATGTCATCGAAATACTTTGCGCACAATATAAAGATATTAAATATCGTTCGCACATTTATATATATTATGAATAATGCGAGAATAATAAATTTCAAGTATGAGCTATTTACACTTGAAAGCAATACGCCTCGCGTATCCTTATATGTAAACCGCCGAAAGATATTCATCCCGCTTTCGATCTCCTTTCTGTACTGATGCATGTGTTAGAAGCATGGGTCCAGTCTGTATTTCATGCGTCTAAAAGAACGTCCTACGTGACTCTACACGTGTCTACCTGAAGGCAGAGACGTACCTGTCGAGCCGTCGCAGCCTTCGGTGTGAGAAGAACATCCACCTTCTCCTTCAGCATCTAGCCCCGCATAACACAGATATAAACAACAGATATATCACTGCAGCTAATTATTCGTGTATGCGCTAGCTCTCCACTTGCCTACTATCCCTAATCCGTCCCTCATGCCACCCACTTGCGCCAGCAGGCGCAGATGCAGAGATATATGAGGACCGAAACTTTCTTGCTGTATGCATCTTAAAGCGTTTAGTTTCTGATTTGCATACGACTTCGCAGCCGCAATCTGTAATTAGGCTTCTAATCCAGTCTTTAATGTTACACGTCGAAATCACGAAGTTAGTCCTCCAATCTATTTGCAGTATTTTACTTGTTGTTTCACATTGTAATCTCTTTTTCTTTTTTTTTTTAATTAATTAGTTTGGCTGTTAAACGTGTGTCGTAAAAATAGAATAGAATAAAGAGCATAAATTTCTGTGAATGATAAACTCTCTTGCGTATATCTCGATTTCTCCTATCATTTCGTTGCTTTTGCCAGCGGCATCTTTTCTTTAAAAATAAAAGATTTATGACTAACACAAACGGGCTATGGCATCTTAAAATTTCATGGATCAGTAACTATCCAAAGTAACGATTACGTTTGTTCTTTATTTCTAGCGTCTGGAAATGATAGATGCTTTTAGCCAAACGGAATGGCTTCAGAAACTGTTCGTTCAGGAACTGAGAGATTCGAAATCGATACGAGTTTATCGAGTGTAGAGTTTGAATTATAAAATCGTGCATAGAATAACAAATTGTACAGTTCATAAAAATTATAAATTTAAACTACGATATTAGAAATAAAACTTCTAAATTAATTAATTACAACGTAATGAGATACACATACATCTAATATTTATAAATGTATTTTTCTGATTATATTAATTTATTTAAATGAAAACTATATTTCATTGTATACACATAAATAGTTACATTCATTTACTAAATGAATAAAATATGAATTTTATAAATTTAAATGTTAAATTTAAATGTTACTTGTTAGTCTACATATAAGAGAAATTAATATTTATATAAATACAAAATAAAATATCATTAAAATATCATTATTACTTATGTGTAATTTCTTTCAAAACTAGTAATATCAAATTTTCTTCAAAAGGTTTTCTACGGTAAAAACAAAAATATCAGGTATAAAGTAATATCACAGATGCCAAACATCATTTTGTTTCTCTTCGAAATGCCTCCAGGGACCAGTGTCATAAAATGATAATTACCTAGCTAATCCGTCGTGAATAAATAATTACTATCGATATGCATCTCATTTTATAATATATAATTGATTGATAACAACGATATCACATGCTCCATCGAAAATCTGATACACATCAAACAACACACAGACGACATCGTGTTTCATCAGCACATTCGTTTTTTTTTTTTGGCAGCGATGACTTGGTGAAAATCAGTGGGAACTGAGTGGAATCATTAGATGTGATTAAATGATAATGGATTGATTGAACGACGGTAAGAGAATATCACGTGATTTTCTCAATCGGCGGAATTCTGATTCTCCATTCTGTATTGAAAAGAGATTCTGCGATCTGCTGGAACCAGTGATTACCGCGTTCATTCTACTCGAGTTTTTAACTAAAATTATTCTTGTCCTAAACGTTCATCAGCGCCAGAGAAAGAAAATTATTCTTTTGATCAATGCTTAAATAGGAGACTCACCATCGAATTTCTACTAAAAATACTTTTTACAATGCAGTTGTCAGGAAATTTTATACTTTTATGCTCAATTAGTCGATGAAATAAAAAAATATATTTTGTATTCTAGAACAATACTTTTACTATTACACTGTATATACTTTCCTCCTCTTTTCAAAAAATTTTATCCATTTTCAACTGACAAATCTAGGATAACAATCTAGCAAATAAAATAGATGAAAAAATAATCAATATCCTCATTAAGTGTAGATAGAAATAAATTTCGACATAAAGGCATAACTATCGTCCTTCGTTTTTACGTATCTGATATCTTGGAAATAACATTTGCGTTTTACTGACAAATAATTTTACGTAAAAAAGGCAAACACGGATAGTTAGTTAGGTTACCTTGTTCTTGCTTGTTCTTCTCCATAGACATGCAAGCGATGCGCCATTCCTGAAGTTCGGGCGAGGGGATAAGACCCGCGGAACCAGCCGCGTTATCCTTCCGTGCTTGCCACCAATGGTGATCATCCTTGCTAATGATCTGCAGAATGTCACCGGTTTTAAAGGCAATCCCAGCCTGCGCGCAGGGTATGAGCTCATCCTCCAGTGGATCGTAATCAAATTGCGCTCGAACGAAAATCTGTTGATATAGCGGAAATAATATTAAAATTTCTTAGAAGTGATTTGAGCGTCGATTATTATGCTATCAATCACCGTTAGGATCGACGTCAAGGATTTCACTTCGTGACGACATAAGAGGAGTTATATACAAGAAAATACTAAAGAGTGAAAAGTTACAGCATGTGAGGTAATCGATAAGATATAATGTGCAGTCTTATATATAGTGAAATCGTTCACATCTAATTGGATTAAGTAAGAGGAAAATTTTAATTAACAGCAAATAGGTCCTCGATCATGAAACGTGACTAAGATATCGTTCTACGGCTATATCGATCGCTGATGAACCTACACAGCACTGCGCTAGAACATAGCGAACGAATCTAGGTGTTGCGAGGAAAGCGAAAGAGATGCGACGTGGTAAAGCACTGGCAGTAGCTCTTGCAAAGAGTATAACAGTACAATGTAGAGTATCAATGACAAAGTATCAATGATAAACGGAGCGCTCGCAACTCGATCCGAATTTGTAGGGTTCACGTTTCACATGGCGCACAATAATAGATTATTGTAAAGTACAAATTCGCATGTCGCCGCGAGATAACCAGCGATCGACTCGTAGCTCGATCTCGCCACATCGCTTAAAAGTTAAGGAGTGAGGGGGTTCACGAAACGTGTGAAACGAATTTCCAGACGAAATATAAACTCGCCGGCCTCTGAACGTCGCTGTATGACGTTTTACAGTGTCGGTTACGCAGTTAAGTCATCGACTTTTTTTTTTTTTTTTTTTTTTAGTTTAGAGCCGCACGGCTTTTACAGTCAATCGGTACATTCATCGGCTAACGGGGGGTGGAAGGGCGGGGGTGCGCGGGAAACTTCGTCAATTGGAGGATAACACGGGGGGGCGAGGGGTTGTGTGCGAGCTTTTTGTCGTAATGCCATCAGCGACACGACTCGATCATCTAGCGATGCGCAATACCGTAGTACGTGTAAAGGCATACATAGATATACGTATTGAGTGATTCCGTTTTACAAGAAGCTCAAGCACTAGTTGCTGCACATCGCGTAAGAACAGACGCACACACGTATACGCACGCACACACCGCATACCGAAGATATATGCACGATGCAGATATATGCGCGCGGCCACTACATGAAAGTGTGTGAGTAAAAAATCGGCGTATGAGAAGGTATAATAATAATGTGGTAAATATAATGATATATACGGTAACATGACTGCACACAGCGACGAGACTGGCTTCCGGTTAGCGCACGTTATGATGTATCATTCACGAAACAGAACGGTGGGGATTTTTGATGATGATCCAGAGGGCGGAGGGGGAGTCGTGAAAGGGAGTAAAGGAGATAGATGGCTGTCCATTGCAGAATCAATTCTGTACGAATATTATTCGCTCGGTATTCGTAATTATATCGGTTTTAATTACAATTAGGAATTTTCTGGCTATACCAAAGTCAGAATATCGACAATTCTGAACTAATTAACGCGTGTGGACTAATTAGGGCTGATGCGTCACACGGACGAAAATTTGCGACCAGAGCACCGGCTGAATATATTCTGCGGTTTTGTTCACCGGCCAATTTGTAATATTATTTTATTACAATCCTTTTGCACTTAATAATTTGACATTAATATATGCACAATGTATCTTACAATTTACTAATAGACTGATTAATATTCGTACAGGTTTAACGTATGTGTAATCATTTTCATTTACCGATAAATTATTATGATTATTTGAGGTTGCCATCACTTTTGTTAATAATGGATCCCGAAATACAGTTAATATCCTATCGTCGATCGTAACCGATAATGTAAAAAAAAAAAAAGATGAAAATGTGATAGACATGAAAAGAATTAAAAGTTTCATGCGTATTGATTAAAAATTAAATGTTTTAGAAATCAAACAAATCATACAAGAAAATGGCACAAAACAAAAGTCAGCAACTTACGTTTATTCCTAAGTTTTGGGCCGTATGGCCTTCGCAAAATCTTAAGCTCTACAATTTCGAAATATCCCGAATGTAAATCGAATCAAATGTACAAGAACCGATACTTTCGCGAGTATGATCGTAATATTATTTTGCCAATGTATGGCTCATTTAATTATTAAGACATTGACGTTTATACATTTCCGGAAATAGTGTGTCTCTGTTGACATCGTGTCGACAAGTGTTCTTTTTGAAAATTGAAACTTGTTCGAGCAAAAGCCACACGTTTTCAAACAGGACGACCACGTTTCGATGAATTACGTCAAGTGCTTTGAAAAGCGAAGGAACTTCCTTTGGCAAGAAATACACGGACGCTCAGACAAAAGTATATGGAAATGATTATTAATTTAAATTTATCGATTGATTATAAAGAAATATTCCTCAAAGTATTATATTTATTTTTATTCATTATATATACCGTTTATTTATATTCATAAAGTTTAATTCAACCAACTTTATTTCATATTCTAATTTTTCTATTGATTGACATTATTGATACCTGAAAAATAAAAATTATTAAAATATTAAAATATTTTTTACCAAGTTTGTTTTATATGTACAATAGAATCGAAAGAATAGCGATAATTCTTGTACATAGTACAGTGACTATGTTTTACAGGCTTCTTATTTCTAAAGCATTCCTCTGAGCGTCCATGCAAACAGGAATCTTTTTTTATATGAAGGCATATATAAGCGAAAATATCGATATAGTATTTGCACTTGAGAATTCCTGTCGCGAGGTAAAAGCGTTGCGAAAGGAAGAAAAAAAAATAGACACGGAATTAAGAAAAGAAAAAAAAAAAGAAAATAAGAAATAGAACAACGAAAAATACCGAAGAAATATCCTACTTGTCAGCGATGGCGTGTATAGATAATATAAGAACAGAAGAACAAAATAACGAGGACATGTATATATATATGTGTGTGTGTGTGTGTGTGTGTGTGTGTGTGTGTGTGTATATGAATATAATATATATAATATATAAGTATATGTACGCATAGCCTTCTAACTACAGCAGTCCAATCACACCAGATCAAGTGGCGGTACTTACTAACACTGGCAGAGGCTTAATCCTGAACAACTAGAGTGTTGAGGAAACAGAAAAAAAGGAAGATCAATTAATTAATTTGTTTTCAAAGTCGCACCAAAGCGTAATACGGATTAATCGAGGCCCTCCCCCCGCGTACGTCGCGCGAGGGGAGAAGAAACGTGATAAGAATGACACAATCAATGATAAAGAGCACCTACGGTTGAGTCGCACGCGTCAACGCTTCCGAGATGCACGGTGCGCATTGCTGTGTTGCAACATGCAGGCTTTACTAGATCCTTGTATTATCGAACAGATGCCCTTCGTACTCTCGACGCTTACGAACGTTGGGCTCCCACGCGTCATCTACGCGTGCGATATCCAAATTGGTGGTGTGAAACCGCAATATGTGGGAAAATAAATCTCGCGAATTATCAGCTTTCCTTAACGAGCGCGAAAATCATTTTCCGCAGCATCGAAATGTCGGCTCACCGAGATATATCAGCTTGTAATCAAAATTGCAACGATTGCAACGATTTCTGTATAAATGATGCGCATTGGCACTTTTTAATTCATCAAAATGTAACATTAAGAATTAGCGATAGCAGAACAATTTTGTAATTTTATTTTACTGAAATAGGAAAATATGTAAAATATCGAATATATTATTTTATAACATCGTTCTGTAAAATAAAGCTTGTGTGCACGCAACCTCATTAAGCAAATGATAGTAATCGTTAATTACTATCCGCTTATTTAGATTTTGTATAAAGTGATATTACACGCATAGATTAACGTTATTCACCGGTGTGTGCCCAACATCTGCTGCGAGTCGAATATACGAAGTAATTTCGAGCTCGTAGTTCTACGGCACGTGTGATGAGCGTGGCGCAGAAATGCGAGTTTCTAGCGAGAACTCTCGATGCTTTCTGTCGGGAGTCGGGAGGAATCAAAGCAGACTGGTATAATTAGTAACATTCTAATGCCCCGTGGTATATACCTCGAGTTTTACGTGATAGAGAAGTTCCCTCGCGCGTTTTGTTGAAAATAAAAACACTCTCAGGCGGGAGCAAGCTGATAGAAATTTTCGTGATTTAATCTCCGATCGTGCGTAAAGTCTACGATTAGATAACCGCTTTCGATAAAAACAAAAATATGCATACTTGTGCGAAAAGCTCTGGCTCGGATCTCTTTAAATTTCATCATAACAAAACGATCTCGGAACTCGTTCTGATTTTTCACATTAACGAAAGACACGCTTTACAGAGTCTCAGACGTTAAGCGAGTGTTCGTTGCGTTCGCAATGACTTCATTGTCACGCTGCGGCTTTCTTTCTTTATAATCGCTCTTATATCAAACAAATAGTGGGGTGACAAATAATTAATGATTTATAATACAAGTGAAGAAATGTGAATGTGAATAACATCGGTTTGAAGTTAGTGGCAAGTAGAATTGTATAAAAAAAGTAACACCAATGTAAACACATAAATATAATAAGGAAACTCTGCGAATTGGGTTCATAATATATTTACTGATTAATTAAATCAACAATTAAATCTTATCTTTTATTTCGTCGACTGAATATTGAAATCTACACTGCGCCCGGAGATAGTCAGTAAATCGCTAATTCTAACCACCGGCAAATAACGTTAGTTAAATATGACGACGGCAGTAAATTGCATTCGTTCGTAAATTGTATAAAATAGTGGCGGCAAAATAGCGGAGGGAAATTGAATCGTCAAGTTAATTATCCGTATATATTAAAATCTATTACGTCACGAGCCAAATATATTTTTGACAAATCGATAATGCCCCATTTCCTTCGTCTCCGATAGGGAGATTCCATATGTCGCAACACACGGAAATTTCCTATTCTATCTGATTACAAATTCCTATCTCGCCGCGATTCAGACGAGAGGAATAATGACGCGAGAGTCCCTTTTATGAAACCGATTCCGCAGAGCTCGGCAACGACGCGCTTCCCCAAACTTCAGGCCGCACTGTTCGAATAAAGTCACCGCGCGATTGTGCCCATCCCGTTTCCATAGTAACGTCGCAGAGGACAGTGCATGGACATGGTGGTACGGTATGTGGGTTTTCCGACGTGCATTGGAAGCTGCGCTCTGCTTCAAAGAAGAAATGAACGGGCGAACGATGGGGGAAGGTTTGACGATGGTATGCCGCTGATGGGATTTTCAGGCGACACTGGGAAAGACAATTCTACTCAGTGATATAGCAGGTACTGCGCTATCGACAACTCGTCTGGTGGACTGACTGCTGCTGATGCTGCTGAATCCTCTTGTCGATTTCCATCAGGATCGGACTATCTGCTTCCGAGCGCCAGACCAGAAGGACCGAGCTTCGGGCTTGTCTCTCGGAAGAGGGAGATAAAAAGAAGAGAAAGAGAGAGAGAGAGAGAGAGAGAGTCGTATTGCAGTGCGGAATAAACGCGATTAAAAATTTCATAATGGTGACCTTAACCGATTGAATTCACGAAGTACCGATGCGTGCTTCCCATCGTCACCAGTGATTTAATATGCGATTATTAATAAATATGTCGCGTGATGAATATTCAGTTAATTACGATATTTCTCGAATCTTAACATAATATTGGAAAAACATGATATTAAACTAATTAGTATAATGAATAATTTACACGCTATATTTTAAACATGTTAAATATTCCCGTGTATTAAATCAAATCGATATATTTGTAACGTTGCACCGCGATACGTCCCTTGAAGAATTGATTGTGCTTTTGTGAAATGATTTTTCAGTCGTAAGGGTCAAAATTCTATATGGACATCATGAACATCACAGATAATGTAGATCGGGATTTGTTTTAGGGTGAAGAACACAGACACGTAAAGATTACCTATTTTTCATCCACGCATACTGCAATTAACATGTGTGTGTGGAGGTGAACGAAGAGCGAATGTGTGATGTGAGGATGAAATAAGGTTACAGTTATCAAAGATTTTTCTATCGTTCGCGGATTTAATCGCTCGCTCGAGAAACCATCGCTTCGGGTTTACTCTGAGCATTGTCTGACGACACGGAATTCTTGTAGAAAGCCTTTTTCGCACGCGATCGTACGTCGGAAGACCGTACGTCGAGTCATATTATCGTTTCCCGTCATATCTTCCACGAAGCTGAGATGTCGTAAATCGAAAGTACAAATCGTCGGCAGGCAGGCAGAAGATACGCACGTGCTTAGAATGAAATCCGAGAACGTCGCGAGATCAGAAGGATCAATTTCGACAAATAGAATCTCGGTACATCATGCGTTTAATCCGCATTTTGCACGGCAAAAGTGAAAAATATATCGAAATATATCGGTATGTCATTAAAAAACAGCGCCGTCGAAAAACAACATCACAATCGTAATATATTTAATATATTAAATTTTTTATCTAATTCATAATTTGCATTAACAAAATATTTTTGTTCAAAAAAGAAAAAAAGGCTTTTAATTTTTCTGAATTATTAAGAAGTATTTGCTGCAAATTGTCTGTGATGTAATCAGATTTATTTAATTTATTTGATATACGAGATCGCTCGTAAGAAATGATAGAAACTCCCTTTTTCCGAGACATCCCACGACAGCCGATTTCTCACCGACGCTACCAATTGCGATGAAAAAGATTGAACTAATTTTCTCGAGACGTCTAATGAGATCTATCGGAATCTATCGGTGGCATCGCTCGAGACGCCTTCGTGCAGAACGATAAAATGCCGACAATGACATCAGGCGCGATCGTCGCGGGGTGCAAGAGCGAGGCATGTAATGAGGGAGAGGGGTGACGTATGGGGGGGAGGGATATGTCAACACGTCGACGTGCGTATGTTGTGTGTACAACGAAGAGACATTGAGAGTTCTTGTGTGTGGGAGGTGTTCGTCGATTCTATTTCTACGGCGGACACGGACAAAAGATCACGTTACAGGTGACGTGCGACGACTCGTGGTGTGTTCCAGCGGTTCATGCTTTATTATATCTTCGTACAATGCTCTGTGGGGGTGAGGGGGTAACAACGCCGCCGCCGTTGCGCTCGCCGATGCTGTTGCTGCTCTCGCCTAAAGGTACGATTGGGGGGAGGGGGATCCGAGAGTGATGGCTTCGGAAATGCAACGGGGTCGGGGACCGGGGGGGGGGGGCAGAGGGAGGGAGGTTGTGCTTATCGAGGGTGTCTCGTTTCCCGTGTAACGCACGAGATACCCCTGTTCTCTCGTTCTATAGCGCACGTCGTCGCGAAACGCCTCGGGTTACATTATCTTATTCGTATCGTACCACGTAAACGGGTTGCCGCCACACTCCGACAGCGCAAGTGTGTTTGCGCAGTGATTATTAGCCGTAAATGCTCCCTTTTAACGTGACAAATGTAGCACAGACGCACGGGACAGAGAACGAATAACTTCGTAAGCTCGTTTTCGAAAGAAGGATAGAGGAACGGCGTTCGACGGACATTTAGGATTTACACTTGGCGGCTGATACGTGATTTATCGAACGTTCGCGCAGATTATCAAAAATATTGGCTTTTTCGCGTAGATGAAGTTACTGCATGTCTCGGTCGCGTCTATCGTACACGAGTTGTTCTCGCCAGTTGTATACGAGGTCGTTCCTCGAGATCGTAATATCACGTAATATCACGTAAGCGTAACGAAAGTGAACAGTTAACGTTCATCTGTCCCGTGTCCTTCTACCTTGCATTCCCGAAAGTATAACGAAATTATATATTTCGGAAAATATGATCTATATACTATGCAATCTCATATACAGATATTTGTCACACCAACAATTTGAAGTATACATCGATAAGATCTGCGTGTATCTTGTAACATCCATAAACTCCCAACACATTTTACAACGCTTTACAAAATCTAATCCAATCAAGCCGTTTGCACACACACACATATATATATATATGTGTAATATAGAGTGTGAGAGGAAGTAGGCAATGTATCACGTTCTTAACATGTTTCCACTTCCTCCTGCATTCCTACGTGATGCATAACGAGAAAAACGAGAGGCCGGGCGCTACGTTAAACACATGTA